GAAAGACCATTATCGGAGGATTAGTAATCGATATAAGAAATGTTTAAAGAATGTTGAAAGAATGTTCAAAATCTGTTGAAGCTTCTAATGTAGAATAAATTTCGCAAGCAACTGAAGAAAAACCAGGAAAACAATAACATTATCATAATTTTCATAATTTTAGGGCGTTCTTTGCTTATTAGACTTTACTATTTTCTTTGGCCAGTGCGAAAACGTTAACATATTCTTTTACAATACCCGCCCCGCAGCGTCTTAAACAGCTCATTGCCACTTATCCCCAACTTGATTTAGACTATTCCCAATGCTCTATATATTTTTCCTTACCCCTAAGCAACATCTGTAGCATGAGCCTATAAAGAAAAGTCACACATATAAAATAAAGGCCCAAAAGTAGAAAAATCACAGTCAAATGTTTACGATTTCATGGCCATGTTTCTTGATTTTTCTGCCCAAGACGAACAGCTATGTTCAAGATCATAGTTGTGGCCCCAAAAATTTATCACAAATTAAGCTAAAAAGTTACAAAGTTTATAAAAATTGTTTTACAAGTAATAGTTTAAGATGTACGAATATTTAAATATTTTAAAACAATTTTTGTTACCATATTTAAAAGCATGCTAATAATTTAACCATGGCTGTTTGAAGAGTGAAGTGTGGTCTTTTAATTTTTTTTTATTTTGGGTAGTGTTAGGATGAAGAAAAGTTGGAATAAGCCCTTATAAAACACACGGCAAATGTGAGGACTGAGGAAAAATCCTCTCAACTTTTGCTTGCTGACGATGTTTTTACTGCGTTTCACTTTCCTTGCAGATTTGCGCAAACGCCTCTTTTGGAGTTGCGAAAGTTGATAAGTCAAAAATGGTGCAGGAAAATGCCAGATGATAAATGCAATTTGTATAAGTGTCACGCCCCTCACAGGGGATTGAAATGTGCCCTCGACATCGGGCCCCTCTCTATTACTTCATTTAAATCAGACCAAAACATTAGGCCAAAGTCATAAAACAAGAGGAAAACAATTTTTTTCGGGCCTTTGTCGTAGGCGTCTGTGAGGAAATAAAAATGTAAATGTAACCAGAGGCCGGCAAATGAAATTATAACAGGGAGCTGTGAGGGTTTTCGGGGCCGGGAAATTCCCAGGGAGGCCCATCGAAAGTATCCCCATCCAGAAAACGAAAAAAGTAGCCAACTAAATAAAATGCGAGGGGCTATAGAATTGAGTGCAGTTGCCGAAACAAGAGCAATAAGAAATCGCCAACGAAAATGAAAATGTTTGTCAAGCACGAAACAACAGTCGGAATTTTGACCACAATGCTGCCAAATGTTCGGGCAATAAAGAGCATTTCGGCTGAACCAGAATCTAAATCAAAAAAGCAAACGACAGAATGTGGCAAATGAAGGCGAAAGTGAATTACATGCACATAATTTGAATTTAACCCTCCCCCTGATTTCCCAACTGTCGCCGAAGGTCAAAAGAAAATTTGGCTTAACCAATTAGAAGCTGCGGTTGACTGAGGTTGTCAGTGGTTGTGGTTATGCTGGCATTGGGAATTGAACTGATTCGGGTATTAATCAACTAACCAAATGGGCAGAATTTCCTAAATTTAATTTGATAATAAAAATAAGGAAATCTAGGGCCTCTTTTTAAATTATTAAAAGCACGTTTATTGTATTAAACAAGAAAACAATTGTTTTAACTTAAAGATTCTGTTTAAGTCTGTTGACCTAACAAAAATTATTGATTTACAAAAAGGACAAATCTCTGAATTTTTGCAAATATTTTATTTTATCAAATAATGAACTGAATAGATATAATTATATTTTAATATATTTATAGTATCTTGCTGAGTTTAAATAGTTATTATAATACAACTATATTAGATACGATCTTATCAAATATATCACTTCTGATTGGTTTAAAATACAAAAGGGCAACTTAAAGGTCTTTAAAATCCGCAAAGAAAATCATTGAACACCCTTGGGACAAAGTGTAAGGCGAGGCAAATAACAACTCTAGATTAATAATGAAAATAATATTATTATTTTTGTTTGCTGCACATTTCTCTTGCTGGCACTCAAATGACCGCATCATCTCGGCACCCTTGCCCCTGCAATTTTCCTCTATAATTTTCCCCCGCCGCCACGACAATTTTCCCCGCCATTCTGGGCGACCATCGACGCATTTTGTTTGCTGCAGATGCCAAAAGGACTTGGCGGCGTCAAATTTATGGCTCTTAACTCTTGACTCTTGGCATTCCAGTGCGAGCAAAATGCAGAATGCACCATTGTCAATAAAGTCCTTTCGCCCAGCACATTTTTCTCGTCCCTTTCCGCTTTCCCGCTTTCCGCATTTTCCGCTTTAAGAGCGCCCCGCAATTTTTGGCGGGCTACAGAAATAAATTTTGAAGGCAGCCAGAAGTGCATGAAATCAAACACAATAAGCGAAAGAGCCGCAAATCATATTGAAGGATGTTCTAGAATCCTTGGACCCTTCCCTAATTAGTTTAAGAGAAGGGGACAAAGGAGGCGGCAAGGCAACTGGAACAGAAAACAAATCAATGACTGATGATGAGTGGTCGCGACAGGCGTTCAAGGGTGACACACTCTCAAAAATCACTTGTAAGTTTGTAAAATGTAAAAGAAAATAGGAATAAATGCTTTAATGACTTGACACAAGAAATACTATGCTAAACTTTTTCAAAATAAAGTTAGAAATTGTTGAACAAGCTCTAGAAAATTTGTTTAGGAATAATTAGCTATTAATTTTTTTACATTTTGAATACAAATGTATTTTTACACCCAAACATTTTTAATTATATACAACTTTGTAAAAACTTTAAACTTTATACTTAAAAATAAACGTTAAAAAATGCTTCATTTCTATATATTTTTTGAATTTGTAGTTTTAAGCGATTCACACCAATATAAAATATATAGCAAAATGTTTAAATCTTAAATCATGTTAAAACTCATATCACAAAAAAATGTTGTCGAGTGCATTAAAAGAGTTTCGAAAGGAACAACGCAAGCCTCCACCCATAAATACATATATATTTGTATATTCCCCCGTTTGTTCGGTTTATGTGACAGCCCCAAAGTGCATTCAAAATAAAGTATGCAGGCCACATTTTTATTTGCCCCTGTTTGCAACTACTTTTTGTTTGTTCTTTTTCCCGAGTTTGATTTTTGTGCAAATGGAAAACCATAAAGGGAATACATGTTAAAATTTCGCGAAATTGTTAACCAAAAAACTATAGTGCTATAAATAATATACCAAAACGGAGAATTAATTGCTCTTTAATTTACCATCTATATGGTTTTATTTCGTGCCATAAATATGATCTGCTTTGCTTTCATATAATTTTATTTTATTTCTTTTAAATATGAAAATATGATATGAAACTTTTAGAAAGCCAAAATACTGTGTCTCACAAATTATTAATTAAATAAATTATTCAAAAATAATTGCCACTACTAAAAACCGTTTTTCACAAACACTCAATTTGTGTAAGCAAGCAAAAACGTTAAAAACCTGTTAAATAAATAGCACACTTGGAGTTATTCTCATGTTTAAGTTTTGTGACCGATTTCTCTTTTTTTTTAAGATTTAGTTAAATTCACTAGTTTTCATAATATTCTAGATTTGTTATCTATATTTTGTATTTACATTACTCACCTTTGGCAGTTTTGATTCGTGAACTTCAACAGGAAGTTTAGTTCATATGAGTTTTTCACGCTTTTCACATGCAGAGCACTTTTGAAGAAAAATAAACAATTCGAAATTTTCCCGTACCGTTAACCGTTACTCGTCGATTTTGAAACTTAACCGTTTCGCTACTGACCCGCTTATTTTGGCCTGTGTCCGCTGGCAAGCGAACGCGTCGAATGCTGAACTGCTACTTGTTGGCGTTTCGTCGTCCTCCGAAAACGAAGCGGAGATGCTAGGGCAAAGCAAAAAAAAAAAGTAAAGGAAAAAGGAAAACAACACAGATACGCACGCATACAGGCGCGACCGCTTTTCCTCCTCATCCTCCCCCGCCCCTCGAAAAGTTCATTTTCCGATTCATTTTAGCGAATTCGCTGCGCTGCAAATTCGTCTGTTGGGTATTCGCAAACTTTGGGCTTTTCCTTTGGGCTTTTCCGGCAGAGCTTCTCGCTCGCTGCAAAGGAAAAGCCGGCTATAACGACTCACAGTGAGCGCTGCAAAGATAGAGAGAGCTTAAATGGCAACTTTTGGCGCTTTTTTCGGAATTTTGAAATATTTGAAAAGGATTTAAAGATGCCAATTTGCTTTTACGACGATTATAATCTAGTAATGTTTTTTAATTTACAAAATATACAAATCAAAATGTTTAAAAATTTAAGCGAATTTTTTAATAAACGGATCGATAACTTTTAATTTTACTATATCATGGGATTTGGCTTTGAACGTGCATTCCCGGAAATGGGATTCTCGTCCTTAATATTCTTTCCACCAGATGATTCCATTGACGATGGTGAGTTCGCCTAATTAATTAATCAAATTAAAATAGTTTGGTCAGTTCAACGAAAAAATTCAACCAATTTAATTCAATTATTTTGAAAAATATAAAAATTGAAAAATTATTAAATATTCATTTTCTCCCATTGCCATTAAAATAACCATATGTGATTTTGTTGTTGTTGTATTTTTTAATTAATTCATAATAAAAGTTTCTATTTTTCGGTTGGTTTTTTTTTTTTGTTTTCGACGCTTAGCTAATATATTTATTATATATTATTTATATGTATATCTACAGTAGTTATTAGCATTATCATTATTAAACTGTTGTTTGCTTTCTTTTTGTTTCGAATCTGCGTAATTCGCAGATCCATTTCTTTTGTTTGTTGGTTTGTTTTTAGACAAGTTAAGATTTAAAAAAAAACTCAAAATTACACTTATATACGTGTTGTTAGTTCTTCTTTCCCCGCGCTTTCCTCTCGATTCTGCTTTCGCTTCGCTTAAATAACAAAAAAATTGTCGCTTTTGCCAAATAAATTATATATGCATATATAATGAAATACATACGTTCATATACTTGGTAAGACGTAAATGTAGGGCATACAAAAAAAATTAAACTAAAACAAAACTTGCTGCGATTTCAATCGGAGGTTAAAAAAATTAGGTATATATATATAAATACAAATTTTGTTTTTCTTAGTTTCCTTATATTTTTTGTTTTTTTTTTTAACTAAAGAGCAATTTTGGGTGTGGGCGGGGGCGTTGCGAATTATCGGCAAATAACTACAAAACAAGAATCGCAGAGTTCAATTAGCAGGATAGCAAGCCAATCAAAAGAATAAACAAACATTTGCGATCGCTGAATGAAAATAAATAGTAATGCGGATATAATAAACGTCGTCAGGTCGTAGGATCCCAAAACTATATATACATATAATAAACACATATATATATTATATATATATAAAATTGTCGATTTCCTCGTCCCGAGAAGCGTGCGTTCGGCTCGACTTGACTTGCATTTTGGTTGTCATCGTAATCATTTTATCATCATGATTCTCATACATTATTATGTTCGGTTGTTGTAAATATACAATCTTTCATATACTCTATTTATATATATTTATTTATATATAATTTGTATATAGTTTAATTAGCTTTTTATTGCAGTTGAGTATACTATGTTGACTTGTTTTTTTGTTGGTGTTGTTGCTGGTGTTGTTGTTGATCCTATTTCGTTTGTTTATCTTTTCTTTTGTTTTGTTTTTTGCTTTGTTTTTGTTTTTGTGTTTGTGTTTGCTTTTGTTTTTCGATTCGATTCGTTACTAGGCTTTATCCATATTGCTTCTTGATCTTGTAGTTGTCTGACGGCTCTATTCTCCTTTTGTAGTTATCTTTGAGTGGTGTGTTTGTTTGTGGCTATTTCTCTGGCTTCTTTCTCCGCCTTGCTTCAATGCTTATTTAAGTTTACGTTTGTTTTTAATTTACGCTTTGCTAATTATAAATTATGTTTTAGTTTTTTTTTGTGTTTCTTGTTGGAGTTCTTGTCGCAGCTGTTGGTTGATTTATCCTGATTTGTCTTGTGCCAAGTCCATTTAGTCCGCTTAACCAGTTATACACTGCCACCATATACTCGGTTGCCGACTGGAACTCGATCCGAACACAAGTGAATCGCGGCCTGGTGGTGGTGGTAGTGGTGGTGGTGGTGTTAGTGGTGTTGGTGGTGGGGAAAGATGCGTCCCCCAATGGAGAGAATTAGGAGAATGGAGCAGGATGCACGCGGTTTCTCAGTCATTGTCGTGGGCCCCCGCCAGTCGTCGTCATCATCTAAATCATTCCCAGACGACCACAAATACGGGTTGATCCGGGCATGCGAAACGAGGACAAAGGCTAGCTGCTGGCGGCGGCCACAATGGACCAATCATCATCGCAATCTTCATCAGCTGCGCCAAAAGAAGCTCTTTTTGAGCCTGACGGACAGCTTGCGATGCACGCGCAGCCTAACCTGCTCCTGATCCTAAGTATCGTCCGACATGAACGCGTTCTGAGTCTTCGACTCCTCAATGCGGCGGATCTGCTGACGCAAATACATGATTCTGGGGGATAATAGGAATGCAATTGAGTATTATTTGAGTTAATTCCCATTCAGTTGGCAACGTCCCACTCACTTTTGTTCCTGCAGGGTGGCATTGATCTCGGTGCTGCGCACCAGGCTGCGGGCGCACTTCAATTCCGCGCATATCCTCGTACAGGTGATGTCGCCAAACAGGTGCGTATCCTCACAGCACTTCTGCGCCTTCGAGAAATAATGAGACATACACATTTACAATCAGTTACGGGTCCACGGGCAAACATTCAGCGGCCAAGTTAGTGATTAATATGCAGGCAAGTCCTACCTCACAGCTTACCTGACGCTCCAGCACCTCCGCCTGCCAGTTGGTCACGTGCGCAATCAGGTCGGCGCGGAAGTATTTCGCCAGCTTCGGTGAAATCTCGGGGCCGCGTAGGTTTGCCGCCTGCCCCGAGGATCCCACGCAGCTCTGCAGCGAGCTTAGCGTGGCCGACGAGGTGCCATCCACTGCAATAATAGAATTTAATAAATAATTATATATATTTTCACGAAAGATAATTTGAAACATTTGAAACAACTTTGTCAAACAGTATTACAAATTAATTATGGATAATAGTTGAAAAAGTTTAATTAAAAATCAGGCATTAAAACCGAATCAAATATCGATTTCGGTAACGGTTACGGTTTTGATTCGATTTTAACGGTTCAGGATAGCGGTTACGAAACCGGTTGCAATCTCAGCTTTAAATATATATTAATATGTCTTATAAATTTGAAGCAAAGCCACTCCAAAATGCATAAACAAAAACTATAGTAGTAAAGTAAACATCGAAGGATTTTTTAGAACCTTTTTTTGGAATTAGCTAACAAAACATTTCTATTTCAAATTCCTATAACAATAGAAGCCTGGTAATTTGAACTCACATTTACGCTGCTGCTGGGCCTGCTGCGCCGCCTGCAGCTGAAGGCTGGCCGCTGCCGCGGCTGCCGCTGCGGCGGCCAACTGTTGCTGCTCCAGCGCCGAGCCGCTCAAGTCCAGTTCCTGTGTGGGCGTGGGCGGGCCCTCGCCACCCGCCGCCGCCCCGCTGTTGCTGCCCATCGAGGTGATCACACTGATTCCGCTGACGGCGCCCAGGCCGGGCACGATGCTTTGGCTGCTATTCGCTCCACTGGAGCCGGAGGAGGCATTGCCGCCGGGCGTGGCCGGCGAGGCGTTTGCCACCAGCACTCCCACTCCGCCGTCGAGGGTCGCCTTGAGGCCGAAGGGTGGATTGCAGGTGTAGGCGTTGCTCACGTTGTTCGTGTGGCCCACAATCGTCGGGATGGGACTCTTGGTGTAGCTCAACGACGGCGAGAGGCTGTGGTGTGGATGCGGCATGTACAGCGGCGAGTTGACACTGTTGTCTCTGCATTGCGCATATACAAAACAAACAATGAAGTTGCATCGTTTTTTTTTTCAGACAAGAGTTCAAGTTCATTTCACTCACCGTAAGCTGCTTAGACTGCTGCCGGAGACCGAGTTGTTGACCGAGTTGTAGGCATGATTGACCGAACCGTCTGCCGACGAGCCAACCGAGTTGACGCCGTGATGCGATTGCACATCCAGGACGCCCAGGCCCAGGTGCATCTTCTGGCGCATGAGCAGCGCCTGATCCTTGCCCTTGGCACCCGGTGGCAGTGGAGCATTCGAGTTCAGATGGTGCTGGTGTGGGTGCTGGTGCTGATGCTGATGCTGGTGCGGATCCTGACTTCCCAGTGTGGGCACAGTTGTCTGCAATGCATCATTGTGTTGAGGGCAAGCTCTCGCTGCAGCTACAGTTAAATGCAAAACTTACACCAGATGTGGAGCCAATGTGGCCGACAGCGGAGTTCCTTAGGCTGCTGCTGCTGCTGCTGGCGTTGTTGTTGCTGCCTCCACCGCCGCCGGCACTGTTGCTGTTCACCATGCCCGACGACGACAGTCCACTGGTGGGCAGCATTGTGGCCCCCGTCACCGGGCCACCGCCCGCTCCGCTGCCGTAGTGAAGTCCCGCCGCCGTTCCTGCGCCCGTCGCCGACGAAACGGAGGAGTTGGCATTCGGATGGGAGGCCAAACGGGGCAGGGCGTTGCCCATTGGCTGATCACTACCGCCACCGCCGCCGCCACCAGGAACGCCACCGCCCGGTCCGCCACCGTGGGTGGTGGGCGTGCCGCTCAGCGAGTAGCTGGCCTCCGAGGTAGGCGTAGAGTCGCCACTTATGTCCATGTCAGCATTGTCGTTGTGACGACCTGCGGGCAAGATTTAAAGGTCAGGAGTTAGAAGGATTCTGGGAATATGGTGTCATTGCAAGCTTTGCAAAAATCGAAGAATTTCATTTGATCCAATTGGAATAAATATTATTAAGAAAAAAAACCTATTGGATTGTTCTAAACCCCTCACAAACTTCATTTTCCTTTAATTAGTTATATTTTAAAGCTAAAAATTTAATTTATAGAACTATACTTTTTTTCCTTTTCCAAAAAAAATTACTTTCTTCCTTACTTACTTTACTTTAGACATAAATTTAAAGCAGATCAAACTTTATAATTAAAATAAAAAGGTCTCAGCTATAACAAAAAGCCCAAATGGAACGCCATTCTTCGAGTTTGCCAAGCTTGAAAGGATGAACTTAAATCACTTTTCTCACCATCCAAACGCCTACGATGGCTGGGCGGACCGCCATCGTTGTCGTAATTCCATCTCAGTCGTGAATTGTCGCGCGAAGAATTGGAATGTTTGTATGCTGCATTGAATGAAAATAAAATGTATTTAATTTGTGTACATAGGCTAACTTATGGCAGTCCTTAAACTTACTCGATCTGGAGAAACGATCATCGCGGTCGCGATCGCGATCTTTATCGCGATAGTCCTTCTCACGATGCTGATCACGCGGCAAATTTCTGAAATCATATAACATGTTAGCTTAGATTTTTAACAGAAAATACTTCTCAAAACTTAAAGTGACAAAAATAAGTTAACAATAAGTTTAGTTATTATGTTATTGGGATAACACTATCACTTTGTTTACCTTTCTCTGTCCACCCATTCCTTTGGTTTCTCCCACTGAGAGATTTCCGTCTTGCAGTTGTAGTAATACATTTTTCCTGAAAACGAATTTAGAGTTGAGCTCAGAAGCTGGACAAGATGCATCTGGTGTAGGTCAACTCACCCGATGAGCTGACATGCTCGCTCCAGTCCCCATAACGCGCTGTCCGCTCACCGCGATCACTGCGCTCGCGTTTATCTATAAAAAAAATACACAAAATAATTGTAGTAAATTATGGAAAAAGGACAAGGAACCAAGCAATCTGGACATACCTGCATATTTGTCCTTCTTGTACATGTCTCTGTCGCGATCGGAACCGCGATCCCGCTTGTCGCGCAGGTCGCGCATATCTCGATCCCGCTCCCGATCGCGATCGTCGGACCCCGAGCGTTTGTCGTTTTCCCGCGAGGAGCAGAGCTTGCTGCTGGCGTTGCCTCCTCCACCGCCACCGCCGCCACCACCTCCGCCGCCCCCGCCACGCCGATCCCTGTCATGGTTGGTGCGGTACGACGACTCCGAGTCGCGATCGTTGCCACGTCGATCACGTTTGTCTAAGGACACAGATTTTGTGTAGAGTTAAGGGCATAGAGTTAGAATTTAATAAGCCGTTTATATTCACCTGAATATTTATCCTTCTTGTAGACATCCCGATCTCGGTCCCGCATCTTTTGTATGAAGCTGTACCGCTCGCCGCTGCCGCCACGCCCATTACCGCCGCCGCCACCACCTCCGCCGCCGCCGCCCCGATGATCGCTGCGATCGCGCAGATCATGCGAACGGGAGGATGGCGAATCTATGTCCGGCGATTGGGAACGGTAGCTGTTGCCATTGTTCAATGGTCCGCCGCCGTTGCCGCTGCCGCCCCCGCTGCCGCCTCCTCCACCACCAGCGGATCCGCCGCCTCCTCCACCGCCAGCGCCTGGCGACAGGTCGCGATCGCGGTAATTGGAGGAACGATCGCGTTCGTAGTCGCGCTTTGAACTGCTGTACTTTGAGCTCTGCACGGGTAAATAGAAGCGCACACAGTTTTTAGTCGGTTTAGGTTTACATTCCCCAAATTAATTGCACAGTGCTACAAAATATAATTTTTGTAATGAACTTCTCAAGAAATCCCAGCGGAAATTATAGATGTGATCGAAAAATTACTTTATCTCTGATAAAAGTTATTGAAATTTGTAATATTAAATTAAAGTCATTAAGTTTATATCTCAAATTAAATATGAATAAATACATTTAACAGACTAAAAACTCATCAAATTTTAAGACAAATGTTCTGATACAAAGAACGTAATACAGGTTTAAGGAACTTTTCGATCACAGCCATTATTTCAACAGAGTCTCCTGAGAAATACAGAATCACTGTTGCATTCAGTGTTACATTCTTAATTGCGGTTGATTTAAGTCATGGTTTAGTTAAAACTTTTTAAGTTATTTAATTTTTTTGGGGACAGGGTGGTTAGTTAAACTAAATCTACTTAATAGGGAAATCATAAGTAAATGCATAAATGCCAGCTACTTTTGCCAATGCTCTCGCATGTGATTATTGCCAATGCAAAATAAAATAAACGAATCGAAACGAAACGAAATGAAACGAGACTTAAGTGAAAATGAAATTCCGATGGTTTGGAAAAAACAAATGTGTAATTAATACAGAATTTGGAAATATGTCAAGTCCAAATTTTTTAAATAATATTCCTATATATTTTTCTGTGAGTTATTGTTTTGTTAAAGACGAAATTATATTATAAATAAGAATTAACAAAAAGCTTTTTTATTATTGTATATACGATCAATTATTGTTTTAATTATGTTGGTTGTTTTGTTTTGGTAAAACAAAATAAAAATCGTTCAAATTAAAGCATTCAAATGTTTGTTGTATTTAATTTTGAAATCAAATTTAAGATTCATAATGTTTATTTCCTTGTTGATAATAAACTTAATAATAATCCATATATTGTTTTTAAGAAATTATTCCCTTGGTGATCATAAACTTAATAATAATCCATATATTGTTTTTGAGAAATTATAATCCTTTATAATTTACTGGTTTAATTAATAATGTATCTTATCTGTGTATGTTAAGCAGATATACATTTTTTTCTTGCTTTTGTAATGTTTGTTTATAAATTAAAATATATAAACCATAATTCGCTGAGAAATGTTGTGTTTCAGCGGCGATTTGTGTAGTGTTTTAGCCAGATTTTGGTTTAAAATATACAAATTTTGATAAAAGATTTATTGCTGCTCCTTTTTTTTGGGTTTCCATATTTTGTTGGGTTTATTATTCATTTAAATGTATAATTTGTATTCGTTCCATGTTATCTTGTTTTTTTTTTTTAATTAATTCAGTTATTTGTCTTAATTGTTTTTCAGACTATTTTGTTTTTATTTTATGCGTTTTTCCTCGAGCTTCGATTGTTTTTAGTTATTTTTTTTTTGTAGTTTATATTTTTATCACTTTTTTTTAATGTCATTTTTTTTACTTACTTCAAGGCGACAGATGCCCACCGCTGATGGCGTCGACGTCACTGCCAGCGTCGCTGCTGCTGCGCTGCTTTTGCTATTCGCATTGTTGTTATTATTGTGGCTAATGTTGCTATTGCAATTGGCAATTGTTGTTGTTGAAAGGGATAGGTCAACAGCCATGTTGAGGTTGTTGCTTTTGCTGGATTTGTTGCTGTTGCTGTAGGAGTTGTTGTTGCTCCTCATAGATAATTAATTAATTAAATAATATTTTATTTTAGCTTTTATTGTTAATCCAATAAATGTAATTTTTGGTCGCTTTTTCAAAGGGCACACACTTTTATTAATTTTTCCTTTTGGTTTATTTTTCAATAATTTTCCATTTTGTTATTTGTTTGGCTTAATTGATTGTTGTTGCTTTTTGTTTGAGGCACATTTGTGTTGTTTTTGTTGTCGTTGATAATTTCGTTAAATTTTGTTGAAATCTATTTATGTTATTCAGTTGCACATTCATTTGCTTGTTTTTTGTTTTGGTGTATAATTGTTTACTATGTCGTTTTTAAGGCTATTTTAGTTTGATTAAGTTTTAATTTTTTTAGGCAGCGTTTACAAATTGGTTATGAATTTGATTTCTATTTAAAATAGTTTGATAAATGTTTATATACGTTCGCTTTTGTTATTCTGTTTATAATATATATTTCGAATTAAAGCATATATTTGTGCTGTTCGGTTAAAGATTGTAATTGAATAATTTCTTTCTAAATAGGATATTTTTTTGATAACTATTTCTCGTTTTGTTGTATATAGACCTATTTAACTATTAATCGAATTGGTGTTTTGTTTTTGGCGTTGATGCGTAAAGATTCGTTTCTCAATTTTAGATCAGTTCAGGCTGCAATGCCGCGTTTTTGAATGGGTTAAATGAAACACGATTTGGTCAGTTAAAAAATGGATGAGGTTACGGGAAAAGTAAGATCTGGGATGCACAACAAACACAGCGATTGAAAAAGGAAGAGAAATTTGAACAAAAAAAATCCAAAAATCCAGTCTATACAATTTGTAATTTTGTTGATTTTTCAGTGATCCAACTATGTACGTACTAAAAAATATCAGCAAATGACAAAGTGAATTCGATGGTTCAAGAATCTACGATTTACATTGGCTTTTTTGGTTTGGCTTTAAAGTGCACTACGAATGGAGCTTAACTACGAAACTTAAAATATCCACTATAAGCTGGCATACAAATCGTGATTAATTGCGGTTATAGGAGGGATCTCGGATCGGTCTGCTCACCTGGTAGGATGTGTGACTGGTATGCTTCTCAAAGTACCTAAAAATAAGAGGGAAAATACAATATGAAAATTAGTTTCGTTCGTCATGATATGGTAGATATTAAAAATAAAGCACACTTATTTGGCTATTAAGTTCTGCTGTCTTTATATGTAAACCAAACAAATTTTTAAATATAAAATATATTGTAATTGTATTGCTTTTTTCTGACAAATATTAACCTCTATATTTTATCAGTTTTCTTATCACATTGATTAAGATGTATTTATTTAGCTTACCAAAAACCGAAAAAAACGGGCTTTTATGCCTTGAACTGCAAGCTTAAGTTGAGGCTGGTAGGGGTCTAGATTTTGTAGACTATTCTATTGAATGACACAACTTTTACATAACCAATACCACTAAGAAGCATGACATTTTGCAGAATTTGTTACGTTACTTGTATTAAAACCGTCATTTGGACATTCAAAAAAAGAACCAACCGAGAATTTTTTAAAATGAATAATAATAAAAACCGGTAGCAAAGAAAATATAGTTCTCAGGGTTATCAAAGAAAATGCCAAACTTAAATCGATTTCCCTTTCCTATTGAGTTTTCTTTTATCAATAAAAGCGCTTATCAATGCCGGCATCGATTTGTTGACAGTCATTAAGTTTTGTTGTTTTGGGTTCAACGAACAATCGAAAGCCGGCTAAAAACCGATGGTAAATAAACAAGCTAATTTAACTGCAAAGTGATAAACAAAAATATAAACTTATGTATTTTCAATTGAGAAGCAACGGTAAATGTGACAAGAATTTTTTTTTTGGCCACTGCCAGCTGAGCGCGTGCGAGCGAGAGGCCTCTATTTTGTGGTGGAAAAGTCAAAAAACACTGATAGCGCGAAAATGGCAAAAGCATCGAAGAAAAGTCAAAGTCACAAACATTAAGGGAAATAATAAGTAAAGGAAAAACATTTAATTAAGGCTATAGCAAGAAAATAAAGGCGAAAAACTAAACACGGGCACTGACCGCTCTGCGAGTTAGAGTGAGACGGCGAGATAGCAGAACGTAAACAAAAAAATATACAATAATAGGTGTGTGTGTGTGTGTTTTAGAGAGCACTGTTATTACCGATTTAACGACATATTATTTGATTTATTTAATATATATATTACCCATCGTTCATACGCTGCGGTTTTCTAGCATGCATTACCATCAATGCAAGTTTTTCGCCAAATACGCTGCTGCTTCTGTTGGATTTTCCTCCTGCTCCTCCTCCGTTTTCGTCCGCTGCTGCTGCTGCTGCTTCCTCTTCTCGGGGAGATAATGCAGCCCTATTTTTCCAAATTTATCCAATTTTGTGGGGCCTTTGGCGCCTCCTTTTTGCTCCTTATTCTCCTTCCGTTGCTGCTTCTTCTTCTCACCTGCCAAGGCACGCGCGCTTGTAAGTGTGTGTGTGTGTGTTGTGGTCTGCTTGTATGGGAGGCTCTCAGTGGCATGTGTGTGTGTGTGTGTGGCCTGTGACTCTCAGTGTGTGTGCCTAAATTGCGGTCGCCGTTTTATCGGCTTATTTTGCTGCCTCCTAAAAGTACAAACATTCAAGCCAATCCTTTAGACAGCTTCCTTCTTTGGCCTCCTTAATGCGATTAGCGTCTGTTCCACCACCCAAACGCCTTCGCCTTCAATTTTTCACTTTAAACACGGCGCACTGGTGTGCGTGTGCGTTTCCGTGTGTGCGTGTGTGGTGTCGCTTCATTCGTATTTCGATTCGACTTTTTTTCTTCGCCTTTTGGTACCTTACCGCAATTCGTTTGCCGCTCGCATTCGCTGCGCTGTAATCGCCGCATTTAGTTGCTCCGCATCGAACGACAATTGTTTAATTATACGCCGACTTGCTGCGTTCGCTTTTTGGCCTCTATACTTGGTGATTTTTTTCAATTCTTTTGCATTACGCTTTGTGCGGTCTGTTCGTCGGCACGACTGTGTTGAGTTTGACAGCCATCGGTCGCAGGTGTCGTCTCGCTCGCACATTCTCGGTGGATATAGGATTGTCTCGCTTGCGCTGGCTGCTTGGCGGGAGTGTGAGCAGGCGAGCTATATGACTGATTTGCTTGGTTGCCGTGGTGGACTCTAGGTGGCGCGGCATTTTGTGGGATTTTTTAGTTCATTTTGCCTGTAGGCGTTGGACGGACTGTCGAACGGTCACTCTATGGACAAGGGCTGCCAACTTGAGCCGGATTTGTACTCTGTTTTGGTTATTTTTATTATATTTTTTTATTAATATTTACTAGCTTTGTTTTTGCTAATATTATTAGTTATAGCTAGGTAGTACTCCTGTGTGGGAAAGCTTTTAATACGTTAAATATATTTTAATATATATCTGTTTAATTATTTTTCATGCAAATTTGTTTAACATTACATGTGCGTTTAATTACCGTCGAGGTTTAAAAGCGAACAGATCATTATTTTGTTATATTCTGGAACTTTGCACATCTTTTCAAAAACACTGACATGAAGAAATATTAAGAGCAAAAATGATCTAATTAAAAGGTAAACAGCCATTAGTACAGAGAAAATTTTAAATTCCCTGTTAGACTTAACATAAGCCAAGACAGCAACCAACATGCATGAAAACAAGTTAAACTTATTGTTGCCTACTTTTAGGCTTATCAATTTTGTTTTACAAGCAGTGCATCGTTTTTCGTTAGGTTTTATTTTTGCTTAAAATAGAGCTCAAAATCACTAAACATATTTATTTTATGTGAAAAAAAACATTAAAAATATGGCAATTTGTATATCTCCTTGATTTCGATTGATTTTCGCTAAAAAAGTAAAAGAAAGTTCATCCATTCCAAAATTGTATATAGAAATTCTTGGCCATAATATTATATTTAAGCAGATCTCAAAGTAGTTTTTCTTTATCAAATAAATTATACTAGAAGTTTTTGTTTTTGTATTATTTTATTAAATCGTTTTCGCATATTGGTTTCGTACATATAGTATTTTGTTTATATATATTAATATAAGGTATATATAAAGTTGATTTGTAATAAATTATAAGCAAGTCGACTGTACTCGCACTGGAAACGCGAAGAATTATATATACAACAGAGTTATCGAACAGTTCACGTACGCGTACACATATTATAAATTACACAATTAATTACGCTTTAAGTACAGGCAATTCAATTCGGTTATATTGTAATTTCAATTCCCATCGGTTGGCGTTAAGATTAATTCGTTGATAAGCAGCTTTCGCAGGAGAAAAAGGACGAGTGGGACGAGTGGAAGGACTTCTTTGAATGGGAGGATCCAGATCAAGTACATAAATGTGGACACTACAATAATAATTTGGTCTGCTCTGCACCAGATCGTTGGTGTGTGTGTGTGTTGTTGGTTTTTTTTTGGGGGATATCCTTAGATGATCGCCTCGACCGCTCCAACCTCGGAATTCTTTTTGATCAGGCTCTCCCACTGGGCAATCAAGCCCCTCGACGAGGGCGCCTCCTCGGGCGTCAGATCACAGAGTTGGGCCAACGACATCGCTGGCCGCATTCCGTTGCCATTGGCGTTGCCGTTGCCATTGCCATTGCCATTGCCGTTGCTGATTCCATTGGCCATGTAGGCGGTCGCATTGAGGCTGCGATTGCCCGTGGACTTGTGGATGATCTCCTGCTCGTTTCTGCAATTAAATTCGGGTTTTAAGTTCTTAATCTCTGGTTTATTTGGCCTTACAACTCACCCATTCCGATCGAGCTCCTGTGTGGACTGGGCGTTGCGCAGTTTTCCGGGTCCGTAGCAATGCTCCACCTCGGAGTCCTCGTCATCATCGTCATCCGCATCGGCCTCGTCGTCTGTGCTGAGTTGCCTGTCCAAAACAATTCAAAATATTATTATTATCAATTTTACAATTCTTTGTTTTGTAGCTGTTCCCCAAAAACGTTCTCTTGAGAAACTCTCTAAATTCTCTAAAGAGAAAAAGTAATAATTCTGTGTTTCAAACAAAAAGTCTAAATTTTTCGGGCAAAAAAAATGTTGGACATAAAAGAGAAGAAATGGATTAGTACATATGTATATATGGGCGTGAATTTTTCCCATAATTTCTTTTATTCTAGCATAAAATATAAAAAGGAACAATAAAAAATGTTTGCATGAAATGGAAGCAAATCAAATATTTCTTTATAAGATAGTCAAATGATTGTTGTTTTTATTAAAAAACAAAAAAAAAAGGTACACAGAGGGGTTACAGAAATTACTAGGGTTTTGAGGGGTCTAAAAGTATGCAATAATATATTTTTAATCCGAAACCCAGAGGACTTTATTCTGAAATACGGTGTTATTTATTTCATGGCATACTTTCAGACACCTTTTAAAGTTTTTTTTTTGTTAAGTAATTTTGTAGTAATTTCTGTGAAAACTTCTTTTTTTCCAAATCATATTCTCACTGTAACATAAGTTGCTTATTCTAAAAACAGTAGGTAATAGAAACAAAAAAAAAATATATCAACCTCTAGGTTTTTCTATTCATAACAAAAAAATTAATTAAAAAAAAAGGAAATGGATCGGCCTGGCCAAGTACTTACAGCTTGTCGAGGGAGGCCTTCAGGGTGTTCTGCCTGTTGATCTTGCGCAGGCGCTTGAGCTCCGATTCGCGCGACTTGAGGTCCTGCAGCTCGCGCTGGATCTTCTGCTCGACGGGCACATAGCCCCGTCGCAGCGGTCTGCCCTCCGAGTCCCGCTCGATGGCCGCCGGCGACAAGGTCACCGGGGAGGCGCTCGACCCACCGCCCGACTCCAGGAAGGCCATTGCCGTCCGAGTGTTCAGCTTGAGGGTGTTGCTCTGTCCGTTGCTGTTGTTGTTGTTGTTGTTGATGGTACTAGCAGAACCATTGGTGGCCAAATTCAAGCTCAAGGCCATGGGAGAGGCGGGCGGCAGGGGGCTGGTGGGTGCCAGCTTGCCATGCGAGGCTATGAACCGCTGCATCACGCCCTTGGTGGCGCCACTAAAGGCAAACTGGCGCTTCTGCGGCAGACCGCTCAGCTGGGGCGTCGAAATGGTGCGAGTGATCAGCTTCTGCTGCGGCGGCTCTGGGGTCAGATTATAGCAATTGGGTCCAATGTAGCGCTGCTCCTGGCGTGCCACCACCGTGAGTTTTAGCGGCTGCTTGGCCGCATTGCCGCCGACCGTGGCCATGAGGTTGTTGTTGCTGTTGTTGTTGTTGTTGCACTGCGAGGAGGCCGAAATGCCCGAGTCATCCGAATGCTGGCCATCCAGACTCTCCTCCTTGCCGCTGTTCACGCTGGAGGCCAGCGATGGTGTGTTCGACAGCTCGTCGATGGGCAGCAGCAGTGAGGTGGTGGCCGGCTGTGCCGTCACCAGTACACCCTGCTCATGATCCTGATCCTGATCGTGTTCGTTATGCTGATCCTCATCCTGATCCTGGTCGTTCAGCTGATCCTGTTCCCGCTCCAGTTTCTGGCCAAAGTCAAGGCCATTGCCATTGACCGTGTACGCCTCGAACTCCACCGCTGCGGAGGGGGAAGTGAGGGTGGTGGTGGTGCTGGAAGAGAGAGTGGCCAGCTGGCGGTACTCCTCCTCGCGGCGCACCACCTCCTTGATCTCCTCCTGGATGCGTGTCAGGGGATCGATTTTCTGCAGGCACAAAGAGAACAAAGCACTGATATAAAAACAATTTCTTAAAGCTTTTTTAAACGAAAGGTACAGTTATAATTATAAAAAAAATAAATACAGTAGACTTAATAACGAGAACCCAGATAAATGTTGATTCTTATGCACTTTCAGTTAGGCAAGCATAATATTACATTAAAAGAAAGCCGCATTTAAATATACAACATGTTTTTCTCGGGTCTGTTTATAAAATTTCACCAATAAAAGCCAATTTAGCAATATATTGTATATTTCGAGCCAAAAATTATAGTTTTTATACCCTTGCAGAGGGTATTATAATTTCAGTCAGAAGTTTGCAACGCAGTGAAGGAGACATCTCCGACCCTATAAAGTATATATATTCTTGATCAGCATCACTAGGCGAGTCGATCTAGCCATGTCCGTCTGTCCGTCCGTTTATATGCAAACTAGTCTCTCAGTTTTAAAGCTATCTGCATGAAACTTTCCCAAAAGCTGTCTTTCTATTGCAGGTAGTATATAAGTCGGAACGAGCCGGATCGGACGACTATAGCATATAGCTCCCATAGGAACAATCGGAAAAATAAATGAAAAAAATTATAACTTTGCTGTTTTTTAATTTTTTGTTTAGTTCTTCGAGATATAGTAATGGTTAAATATTTCAGAATTATGTTTTAAATTTCATCAAAATCGGACGACTATAGCATATAGCTCCCATAGGAACAATCGGAAAAATAAATGAAAAAAAATTATTACTTTTCTGTTTTTTAATTTTTTGTTTAGTTCTTCGACATTTAGTAATGGTTAAATATTTTCGATTTACGGTTTAAATTTCATCAAAGTCGGACGTCTATATCATATAGCTCCCATAGAACTAATAAAAATATATAAAATAACTATCTAATAATTGAGCTGCAAATCATCATAGCTTCACTGTTTTTCAGTATATACTCAAGTAAATCATAATTTAAATGTTTTCAAAAGTATTTAATTCATGCAATAGCTGCAAGGGTATATGAACTTCGGCTTGCCGAAGTTTGCTTTCTTTCTTGTTAATAATGTATATAAGCTTTTCTTAAGGCGAACAAACTAACAAACTTGGTCTTAATTAATTTCGAGTGCAATTGGTAACCCGAACCGGAGGAAGTGATCGAGCAGCTCCGATTACGCTTCCAAGTTTGAACTTCTTAGCTGCATGCAATCGAATATGCAATATGCCGCAAAAACCAAAAACCAATAAAGGCGGGGGTGCCACTTCACTTTCGATCGAAAGAATGGCAAGACGCCAGATGCAGATACACCCGCATCCGTGAGCTGCAGAGCTGCATCTTTGAGCGAAACCG